TAAACTGTTTACATATTAAAGTGGCAATACGGCTGCAAATCGTGTGCTCTTTCATTCAAATTTACACAATATATCATTCAGGAATAAGGTAAAAAGTTGAAGTAAGCATTTTGAGAAAAATAAATATTCCCTCCTCATTCAAAATTAACGTAATTAGAATCTGCCGGAAAATCAAGGGTCGTACTACTTAGACCTGTTTACTTGTACCACGTGATTTCTCAAATGGCACGTGCATACAATGGTTTACAATTATAATGGAATATTAGATAAAAGCAATTCTCAGAATCAAAATATCTTAACTCTCCGGTAAATAAATAAATAATAGTTAACATTTTAGTCTGCATTCAGACAAATTTAACATGATTAAGTACAAATGTTGACGCTTTGTGTATTGGGGTGCTGGAAAGGAAAATCCACCAAATCATACTTCATCGCGGCAAAATGTCAAAGAAAATCTTTCTGCAGTTCCAATACAATTTGCACTTCTAATGGCAATAATTTTTATATGTCATAAGTGCATTTTTATGTTGAGTTTATACTGATTTTTCTTTTCTTTGAAAGCCATAGAGATACGAGAAATGATAGCATGTATCAACAAACCTGTAGGGTAGAACCTTCGCGAGCCCCACGTGAATGTCGCCGAGGTCCCATTTCTTCTTGATCCAATAATTATATTAATCTCCCTACTAATTTTTTGGTCACATACACAATTGAAATTCGTTTTGGTCGACTTTGTCAATGTAGCAGGCCTACCGGGATTCCCTCTCTTACCATGCTGTTTTGTTTATGAAAACTATACGCATGCGTCATGTGCGTGTATAGCATGGAATGTGGAACCTCGAACACGTTGCGATGTATATATTTATGTACCATAAATAATTATTAATTTTAATGAAATAATCAGAATTATTTACTTATAAAATTTGTAATTTTCGGAAAGTGTATACATTTATGCGTATTCAAAAATTCCAAATCCTATAGGAAAATTTTAACAAGTCTGTTTTTGAAGAGATGCGTGATATTGCCACTTTAACATGCCATTTTTTCTTTTAAATTATTTAGAATTATATCTAAGGTTGACATTCACACATATTCATTAATATCAATAGTGTAACCCTTTCGTCTCTACATTATTCTGTTTATCCTTTTCCATTTGATATATAAAAATAGTTTTTACGATGTATCAGTAGAAAACGATAGAGACAAAAGGGTTACATTATCGATAACATATTCTGCATATATTAGAATTAAATAAAAAATAGGAAAAGGTGAGTCGACCCCAGATTTAAAAAGAGAGGGGGAAAGGAGGATTCATACCCTAAGTGTCTAGCTTTGAATACAAACCGAAATCTGAAAATTTGACAGAACCTAATTGAAGATAATATATACTAAAACATAAAGCAAAGATATATTCCTTGAAAATGATGTTTAGGAGACAGATCGGCAGGGGACGCCTACTTCTCTCAGGCAGCTGATCCCACGTCTGATGATTCAAGGGGGGTCCATTCTTTACACTCTAATAGATACGATTGATTTTATTTATTTATATGAGATTGATCTATTTCCCTTTTTACCAACTAGCAGAAGCATCGCTATTGCTTACTAAAAATTCTTTGTGAAAGTGCTGTATATAGTGACATACTAAAACATATGTGGTGCAAGTCTGCTCTATGAATGAAATTCTAAATAGAAAAATAATGTTTCAAAATATTATAAGTTGAACAAGTCCGAAGATCACAGCCCCTTTCTCAGAATAGTATTTTGGCAATATAATTAGTTTGCAATTTTGTATCATAGATCTAGATCTGTATATACTCGAAGATCAATGTTTGAATCGTCACTGGCTGTACAGTTTCAGAGTCTTCTTGTTGTCATCAGCCAGACCGTAGCAAAATAATCTTTTCATTCTTGCATTGCAAAGGTCCTTTGAAACATCAGAAATTGGATCTGGTGCCATTACTTCAGTACTGCAACCTATGTGTGAATAATCATGTAGGTTTCTATCATGCACAGTCTTTCTTAATTAACAATAAAAGCTGTAAACAAAAATAGTATGGAAAATATGACTTAAACATACTAGTATAATGTATAAGTAGGATTGGGAAGCGTTAATTCTTTGCGTAAACGTTTTGTATGCGTTGCAAATTTCCTTGGTTGATTACGTGATTATAAATAGACAGATGCATTTCTTTGGAAAATTCATTTTTCAAGAATGTTCAAAATTATAATTAGGAATCATTGGTTGTGATTTAGTTTGAATCTAACAAAACAGTACTGTAAATTTTGGAGATGAGTAATGCCAGACACAAAACACTATAACTTTTTAATTGTGTTTCCATATATATAGTTTTCTTCGAAGAATAAATGTCGAAAAGTTGTAAAGCAGAAGAAAAGAGAGGTTAAGAAAGAGGTAGAGAGTGGTGTGAGAGTAAATATGTTGGGAGAGGGAGACATAGGTAAGGAAAAAAAGGAAGGGAGACTTTTCCCTTTCTTTTAACCTACCCTATTCCTATAACTCCTCGACTCCATACTCCTGATTGTAGTATGGGGATAACTCTCTCATACTCTGCCCTCTGGAGGGAGACGAGAGAGTGTGGGGGAGGGAGGAGTTGGAGTGGGAGGAGAGTGGTAGTGAGTGAGGAGAGAGAGTGGTAGTGAGGAGAGAGAGAGAGAGAGAGAGTGGGAATGAGTGAGGAGAGGGAGAGTGGGATTTAGTGAGGAGAGAGAGTGGGGTTGGGTGAGGAGAGGGAGTGTGGGAGTGAGGAAAGAGTGGAGAGAAGAGTGAGAGTGGAGAGAGATGGAGCGAGTGGAAGAGAGAGGGGGAGGTAGAGGGGAGGGTAGAGTTTAGGAGGGAGAGTGTGTAAGAGAGAGAGGAAGGAGAGTAGGGAGGAAGAGAGGAGAGAGATTGAAATATATGGCGATAACAATCAGTATTCAAGATCAAAAGTCCATAAAACAATACAAAACAGGAGCAGAGCAAACATGGAACTCCAAAACATCAGTGGTGGGATCAGGTGCCATGGAGGAGTGAGCATCTCCTGCCGACCGCTCACACCTGCCATGTGCACCTTGTCATGATCAGGAAATAAAGGAAAAATCCGACGTCAATTCAGTGTATAAATAATGGATTAACAATTAGTATGAAAAATGTCAGTCAGCATTTGTCTCAGTGATAGATTGTATTTGCTGAAAAGGTCATTGTATCGACCATAGATTTTACGAAATTCTGACTTTAAACGAGACTGTTGATATTCTTGTTTCATCAACTTGCTTGTTAATAATTTACCTCGTTTTAGAAATTGTTCATACGTAGAGCATGCTCTTGCGTCAACTGAGATATATACATTCCTTATGCAGATGATGAAGGTATATTGCTGCAAAAGTAAGAGAAGTTGACGATAGAAAAGTTAAAGTCATCACGTTTATCATAGAGCTTGGTTGTTAGATTACCATTAACGTCTTTTTCAAGTAAAATATCCAGATTTGAAACAGATGGGTTAGACTCTGTGGTATCTTTTATCTCAAGCTCACCAGGATATATCGTATCGACATAAGAATGGAAATAACAATTGTTAATTGACAATACGTCGTCAATATACCGTATCTAAATGTCGAGTTGAAGGCCACAGCAAGTGTTTTCTTCTTTTCACGCATAAGATTTTTCATAAATTCTGCTTCATATGAATACAAAAATAGGTCTGCTAATAACGCGGCGCAATTGCTACCCATGGGAATTCCAATAGATTGTTGGAAGACCTAGTCTCCAAAAACAACATATTGTTAATCAGAAACTCAAGCGTCCTTTTGATGTCGACTTTAGAATACTTTTCTGTGTACAATCAGAATGTTTTTTTATCAAAATAATTTTGCAAATGACTAACGTCAAGGTAAGTAAATTTATGAGTTCTATTTTTTATTGAAAAAGCAGCTGTCAAAAGCCTGGATTTAATTTATCGTATGGAATAGTTGTGTAAAAGTATCCACATCTGATTTACACCATTTATTGAAAATGTTGTTGCACAGGAACCCGCTATGTCTCTCTGTAAGGATTTTTATGAAGTTTCGGAATCTAATATATAATAGATTTGGTAGTTATAATTCATTTTGGTTCTTTAGGATCTTGAAAACACTTTTGTGTACAATCAGAATGTTTTTAACAATTTTGCAAAATTTTTGCAAATGACAAATGGCAAGGTAAGTAAGAGATGATGTGGGAGAGAGAATATTGAAGGGTAGGGATATAAGGGTGCAGCTACGGAGTACGGATAGTACAAAGGGAGAGGGAAAGAGAGAAAAATAGAGAGCAGATGGGAGTGAGGGAGAGGGAGAGAAAGGGAAGTTGGATAGAGAGTATTGTGACAAACATTGGTAACAATTTACAAGAGGTAAAAGAAAGCTCAACATTAGAGACTGTAGCTCACCAAGTGCTCTTTTACTATTCGCTAGTACTAACAACAAAGGAAGAGAAAAAAAGCAACAGATTATTGGAATTGAAGCCCTTTTTTTGATTCGCTTGTACCCAAAGTTGACGGTCCTGTAAGGTTCTCAATTTCAACGATTTGATAAATTATAAGTATGAAGAGAATGATATTGTTAAAATATGGAAGTCGGTAGAGTAGTTCATGAACGTGTTGGAATAAAATATTTACGAATTTCGAGTAGCAATGGTTTGGTTATAATTTGCAATGATGAATAGTGATATTTACATGTTGTTAACTGCGTTATGAATTATATAATTATACATGTAACTTGAATGCTTTGTGATAAGTTTGGTTGATATTGTGCAGTGATTCTGGAGATGAAGTCAAAATCGTAAAAAAGTGAACATAAAGACAGATACCGTGAGCCAAAAAAAATCAAACGAACCTTTGGTTCAAACAAGCTAAAACAGCTTTTTAATGAATTTGATATAATTTTTTACACTTCCAATATTTTTGCAAAAGAAAATAGGCAATACAGTATACAATATATATATGCAATACATGTATACACTAGATACAATTGCTAACGCACCACCTAAGAGAATTAATATTTTACTTTTAAAAACTTGTATTTGATTTATAATTATGTTAGTTTAGTAAAAAATAAATAAATATCAAATCTTATAAATAAATACAATGTTTACTGAAGCGTTGCCAATTTATAGAAAAGATTAAAATCGTGTCTATTCCATTTGTGAAGAAAAACATTTTCTATTTTTCTTCGTGTTGGTGTTCTTTACATTTGTACTAATTAAAAACTCAGAAAAAAGTTACGCCGTATGCGGCATTTGAAGCTAGAAGAGCGTGCAAAACGCAGACAGTATGGCGTCTGCATCGGGTTTCCTTAGAGAAAATGAAATGAAAAATAAAAACAATAAAACAAATTTGAATTCCTAACATGAAAAATTGTTGCAACTAGAATATCAAACATAAAAATGTTTACTATAGATAGCCAGGGCATTAAGTTTCCAGCATACAGTAAGTTAAAAATTGATCCACAAAACTAGGTCAACCGGAAGTTGGGTGGATTTGTTAAGGAAACTAAGGTACCGGATAATTACTAGGCGATACGATAGTCAATGACTGTTTGTCATTTAATTTATTAATGGGGGACTACTTCTGTGGCAATCTCAACGGACCACCTTTAGTTTCCAAGAATTGCATATCTGTTTTAAAAAAAATGGTGCACAGTGCAATCTGGAAATTTGTTTTCTGTCAAGAATGTCATTCAGGGGTGTTTTTATGATACCAAGACATTTGTCAATCCCACTGATTTGGAAATAATGGCATATAATTATAATACTAGTATACTAGTACCGATCAAGCAAATCTTCAGTTCACAGATGAGGATGAAGAAGTGGTGCGTTAACACTTTTGTCTAGTGTATATATAGTTATATACTAGTATATATAAGAGAACACGTTTACAAAAATATATACAAATATCATGAATATAGATGTAATTATATAAGACATAGATTAAATGCAAATTATAATATTTAAATGTATTATGCTATAATGTTATATAAGGATGAAGTATTGTATTCACTACACCTCTTCTTTGTTACAACGTAGTTCCCCTGAAATATAGAAATAGCAGATATAAAATATAAACTGTGCCTTTTCAAATAAATTTACGAAGACTGAGAAATCGTTCATTGAAATAAGAGATGTTTGTAAAACATATGCCCACATCCCCCAAAATAATTAGATTTTTTTTAAGTTGGAGGCATACCTTTGTCCAAAATGGCTCGATCGTATCCAGAATAGAATATGACCTAGGTATCCTTATGATAAATCTGGATACCATTTTTTTTTCAATATGTGCAACCTCTTCGCAAAAAAAAAAAAATGAACGAAAATTGATGGTGGACCGACAGACAGACCGACCTACCGACAGACAGCAGCAAAGCAATTTACCCTCCGTCCTTCAAATAGAGGGTGGCATAAAAATATTAGAATTGTTAAAAAAAGAAAATCGTGAAACATGACTATATTGTATTTTTTTAGAAGATTAAACGCAATCTTTTGCGATTAAACGCAATAATATTGCGATTAAACGCAATAATATTTGTATTTAAAAGCAATCATTTCTATTGATTTTTGAAGAGTGCAATGAATCCACGCTGATATTCGTTTCTTTTTTCTTTTGTACATTAACCAATGAGGAAAATTGTGTATTGTTAAGCATTATAGAATCAGATTCTTCTGAACAAGTATTTTCTGAATGATTAAATCATTTTCATGGATATAAAGAGGAGAAAGAGGTGTCGGTCTGTAAAAACAAAGACAACATTAGAATGAAACAAAGCTTTAGCATGTAAAGATGTCTATATTCCTGTATATTCACAACCTTTCCTTTGATCACATACATTAAACACGAGAACACGAAAATGTAGGTGATGGAATCATATGAAATCAAAAATAAATCAAATGAAAACAGATTGATTGATTTGTACTACCAAATTGATATGGTTATTAATACCACTGAAACATTCTTAATTTGCTGTGATACCTAAGGAATTGACTAATGGCTGTTTTAAAAGTGTTGGATTCTAATAGGTTTAAGAAACTCTGGTTGTTTCTTAGGATGCCATTGTTGTCCCCCGCTTGAAAAGTGGGGGATATTAATTTGGGTTTGTCCGTCCGTCCGTCCGTCCGTCTGTCCGTCCGTCCGTCCGTCTTTCTGTCTGTCTGTAACGCTTTCGTTTCCACACGATATCTCGAGAACCCTTTGAGCTTTTGCAATGAAATTTAGCATAGCAACTCCCTATGGACTAAAGAAGACCCCTATTGATTTTGAGGTCAAAAGGTCAAAGGTCAAGGTCATAAATAAGCAAATTCTGTCTGTTAAAACACTTTCGTTTCCACACGATATCTCGAGAACCATTCGAGCTATTGCAATGAAATTTTATATAACAACTCCCTGTGGCCTAATGAAGACCCCTATTGATTTTGAGGTCAAAAGGTCAAAGTTCAAGGTCGTAAATTTATACATTCTGTCTGTATGTAATACTATCATTTCCGGGCGATATTTCAAGAAGATTTTGAGCTTATGCAATGTAATTTTATACCAAAACTCCCTAGGACGTCTCTCGCCCCTCTCAAAGTGCCCCGCCCCGTTTGTTTTATTAGTATTTATAGTATTACATGGCGCTATTTTTAGCGCAGGGGCATGAGGAGAGTTATTGCGTATAAAACAGGTTCTCGGCGGACTTTATGTTCTTATTACATCTATTAGAACTGTTTAATAAAGGCTAAATAAATCAAACACCATGGATTGTGTAAAATTTTGAGAATACCGAACATGAAAACATGAATATATACATGTATGTGACTTCAATTCTGCATATACTTCACAGCGCGTAAAGCGATTCCGTGGTCTAGTGGTTATGTCTCTCGCTTCATATGTAAGAGGTCCCGGGATCGATTCTCGGTCGATCCTTTCTTTCTTTCTTTTTTTTTTTTTTTTTTATAAATACTTTTTTTTTTTACTAAATGATAGTATTCAGCATGTGAAATGAAAAATTTATGAGGTTATAAAATCATCATTACATTGTGATAAACATTCCATATAAAAAAAAATCTTCTATACACATAATAAAGAATAAGCAATCAAATCTTTATACATGTATGCATATTGACATACATGTATTTTATTTGCTTCAGTATACATGTATACATTTAATAATTCTACAAATTCAGTCAGGGGGAGCCGACTTTTTCCCTAAGCGGGGGACACGAATTCTCTGAATTAGCTTGTTAAACTTCAAATCTCACACACTGCAACATTTTGCAAAAAGACACAGAACCAAACGGTTCTTCTTTAAAGAATCAGACCATAGTATTCATAATAATTTTTGGCTAGCCGATGTTTGATTTCAAACTACGCAATGAATCATTGTGGTTAAATGCAAAATGAATGCTTAAAAGGAAGGATTATTGCGATAAAATGGAAAGAGTATTGCATTTAAATGCAACAAATTACTGCATGTGTTTAAATGCAAATAATTATTGCGATTAAACGCAAAAAATTATTGCGATTAAACGCAATATTATTGCGATTAAACGCAATAATTTTTGCGTTTAATCGCAATGTTATTGCGTTTAAACGCAGAAGTTATTGCGATTAAATGCAAAAGTTATTGCGATTAAACGCAAAAATATTATTGCGATTAAACGCAATAATTATTGCGTTTAATCGCAATCTTTTGCGATTAAACACAAAGTGTTTTGCGTTTAAACGCAATAAAAAATATTTCGCTCTCTGAACTGGCCTCAACGGGCTTCCGTAGATTTACATTTCTAAGAAAGTCTTTTAAATGTACTTTTTCAAAAATGGCTCGTATAATTTTTTTTTTCTTTTAGAACCTATAAAATTACTTTGTTACGTGTAGAAAAGTCGAATTTGGGGAAATCTGTTTTCTGTGTGGTACATTGTATGGCAATGTTTCAAAGTTACTTGCAGCTATTTTACGAGAATATCATACATGTACATCCTTGCGAACAGACGATTGACTGTTTGTTGTTTTACGTCCCGTGTGATATTATACACTTATCGCTGTTTTTTGAGGTCAATACAATGATTTAGCCATCTGAGGAGTACAATATTCACCGAGCCCTTGTATTGACCTAAAAAAAACAGCAACAATTGTATATTATTATATGATTGAATAATTTACATTTCTCTGATTGGCTGAGATCCAACTATGTTAAAAAAAATACTACGCTGTATTGACCTGCACGTGACGTTCCAGGTGAATACGAGGATTTATATCCTCTACATTGATCTAAAAATAGATCGGGAAAATCAAATTAAATAGTTGTAGTTTATGGGGTCAGTTTAGACCATATCAAACGAAGTTCCACGGGGTGAGATGATCTGCTAAAATTAAATGTAGCGAACATCTATAAGATAAAGGAAATGGAAAAATAAAACAAAGTTTTAATAAAATAAAAAAGATACTTAAACTTAATATGTAGAAATGAACACCGCTATATACGAGGGTTGTCCAAAAAGTTCGTGGACAATCATTATGACGTTTTTGTTAAAATAAATGGTGTATAAATCTATTGTATATCAAAATATTTCTTATGAAATTTAAGTCAGTGTGATTTAATTTTTATTGATTGAACTTAATATTTTTGTAAAAATCAGGGTCTTTAAAGATCGCAGATAGTGCGAACGGACCAAGGTTAAAATGTTATAAACTTAGACATAAAGTGTTCGGATTAAAATTATTATTTTTTATATAAATCAAGTCAAAACGTAATAAAAATTACATGTAACATAAAGAGGTTATTATCATATTTTGATATCTTAAGTCTTGCTTACTATATAGGCAGTGAAAATACTAAACAAAAACCCGAACAAATATGTAACAATACTCGACAGAAAAAGCAACGTCGGTCGTCCGAACGGGACAGCGTCCGATCAAACAATTATGTTTAATACGCTTGAAAAGACGTAAAGGACAAAATATTTGTTAAAACAACTCTATATTATTGAAATGTATTTAGTTTATTGATTTGAGATTGGTATACACGAATTTTCAACAGTGTGTACAAATTCGAAGACGCTACAAGAATTTAAAAACACATGTAATTTGAAAATGGGAGAGTTCTATTCATGACGCAGCGCAGCGTCGGACTGGGCTGTGCAGTTTATATTGATGAGTTGACGCTCGTAAATATTTGTGCATTGTTTTGAATTTGAGAAAATAAATATTTTGCAAGCACTTGGAAGAGTGGCACCATAAAAAAAGAAATGTAGAGTGTGTCAAAGAACATGTGTTAAAATTCAAAATACAAATATTTGACGTTATAATGAAATTAGCTCAACGTCAGATTGGTCCGTGCGCACATGTGTGACCTTTAAAGACCCCGATATTTAATAAAAATATTAAGTTCCATTAATAAAAATTAAATTATTCTGACTTGATTCTTCATATGTAATATTTTGATATACAATGGATATATATGAATCATTTATTTTAACAAAAACGTCAATGTCCACGTATAAGATATATACTTGTCAACTTACTCAAATGCAGTATTATCAAAGGAAGACAAACTTGGATGTGGTGTTTTAATTTTTTTGGAATAGTCATTCATGGTCGGCTCCTCTTTCTTTCTGCCAAAAAAAAAAACAATAATATACAATTTAACAAGAATGTCATGCTTATTTTGACATCAAAGGGTCCCAAGCACCTGTGAACGATTCAAATCAATGACCAGCAAATAATACAATAAATTAATTTTTGAAATGACGTACTTTCCAAATTCGACGCCATCTTGGATGGTTTCCGGAAGCTTCCTGTGAAGTGTTTCCGGTAAGAGGAGGGTGAGAAACCCCGCAGTGACGGCGGAACCGCCAAATATCACCAACGGCAAGGCCTGGCCAAACTTCCCACTCACATATTCACTCTGTCAATAAAAGACTTCTTTATTCACAGCTTCAATATAAGCATCCACAAACCACAATACATGTACATATTATATATGTACATTATAGAATAGAAATAGACCCAAAATTAGGCTTTCATTTATTTTGTTATTTTGTATTTCTGTAATAGCCGAAAGAGCTAAAGGCTTATCAAATCTTAGTATTAGTGGTCAATTTAAGGAATGCCCAGCCCTCTTTCATCAGACTAGAATGCATACTGTGCAGTTGTATAAACTTGTTTGTATGGCAAAAGTATCTAGCTCTATTTTTGAAAATCCGATTTAGTGATAAAAATAAATAGCAATATAATTTACCACTTCGATTTTTTTCTCAGTTTTTTATTTAAGAAAAGCAAAGATTCAGCTAAGACAAAAAATAACTTTATATTGATATTGAAAATGATACCTATATATAAGGCGTTAGTCAGTAAATTGCATACCTACAGGGCCACTTTATATATAATGTGATCAAAGCTCGTTTTTTAAAGTCACCTGAGTAACTCAGGTGATCTCTATTGCTATCCGTTTTCGTCCGTTGTCGTCCGTCGTGTGTTAACATTTGAACAATTTTCAGCTTTTTCTCTGAAACCACTGAATCAATTTCAACCAAATTTGGTATACAGCGTCTATGGGTGAAGGGGAACAATAATTGTGAATTTTATGGTCCCCGCCCGTCTGGGGCCTGAGGGGTGGGGCCAAAACCACCAAAATTATTGCAATCTTTAAAAATCTTCTTCTTTACTCCCGCACATCAAGCAGGCAAACTGTTGGCATGAATGTAATGAGCATTGAGTCCTACCAAAATTGTGAAATTCATGGTCCCAGGGTGAGGGGTTCTTGTGCTAGGGCGGGACTATATAGATTATATAGTGAAAATGCATTATTTCTTTTAAAATCTTCTCTGCTCTTGGGTATTAAGTAAACTAACTAAGTAAATAGTTATGTTGAGCAAGAGTGCCTCTTCCAAAACTGTGAATTTTATGGCCCCAGGGTCAGGGGTTCTGGTGTTAGGGCGGGGCTCTAATGAGCATATAGTGAAAATGCATTTATTCTTTGAAAATCTTCTTCTCTGCTTCTGGGTATTAAATAAACTAACTAAGCAATAGTTATGATGAGCAAGAGTGCCTCTTCCAAAATTGTTAATTTTATGGCCCCAGGGTCAGAGGTTCTGGTGTTAGGGCGGGGCTCTATTGATCATATAGTGAAAATGCATTATTCTTTGAAAATCTTCTTCTCTGCCTCTGGGTATTAAATAAACTAACTAAGCACATAGTTATGATGAGCAAGAGTGCCTCTTCCAAAATTGTGAATTTTATGGTCCCAGGGTCAGGGGATCTGGTGTTAGAGCGGGGCTCTATTGATCATTTAGTGAAAAAGCATTAATTCTTTGAAAATCTTCTTCTCTGCTCCTCGGTATCAAATAAACTAATTAAGCACATAGTTATGATGAGCAAGAGTGCCTCTTCAAAATTGTGAATTTTATGGCCTTAGGGTCAGGGGTTCCTTTGGTGTTAGGGCGGGGCTCTATTGATTATATAGTGAAAATGCATTTATTCTTTGAAAATCTTCATCTCTGCTTCTGGGTATGAAATAAACTAACTAAGCACATAGTTATGATGAGCAAGAGTACCTCTTCCAGATTTATGAATTTTATGGCCCCAGGGTCAGGAGTTCTGGTGTTAGGGCAGGGCTCTATTGCTTATATAGTGAAATGCATTATTCTATGAAAATCTTCTTTTTTGCTTCTAGGTATTAAAAAAACTAACTAAGTGCATAGTTATCATGAGCAAGAGAGCCATTTCCAACATTGTGAATTTTATGGCCCCAGGGTCAGGGGTTCTGGTGTTAGGGCGGAGCTCTATTGATTATATAGTGAAAATGCATTAAATCTTTGAAAATCTTTTCCTTTGCTCCTGGGTTTTATGCCAATGATCCAAGTATTATATATATTTATGATGAAGAAAGGTGCATCTAGCAAAATGGTTATTTTTTATGCCCCCAGGGTCAGGGGGTGGGGGGGGGGGGTACATAGTCTGAAAATAAATTAATGCTTTGAAATCTGCTCTTTAGTATTAATCAACCATTTTATGATAAAATTTGCAAAATTTTGAAATATGTGGTCCCAGGGTCAGTGGTTCCTTTGGGGTGAGGTGCACAACTGGTTATAAAGTGGAAGTGCATTTTCTCTTTGTTACTCTGATCTACCTCTGGGTATTAAGTACTAGTAAATAGAGTAAGCATGCTAAGTTTATAATTATGATAAGCAATGGTGCATCTTTCAAAATTGTGAATTGCAAATTTCATGGCCTCTCGGGAAAAACACGAACCAATTTTAATTGTTTGAAAGTTGTTACACGATACTCAGGTGACCTATAAGGCCCGTGGGCTTCTTGTTTTCTAGTTTCATCGGAAAGACCTACAACTTTCACTTCAAAGTACCGAGCGCTTGCCAAAGGAACATGCCTATTTATTGCCCCCCCCCCCCCCGCTTTTATAAAGTATGGGGATATTATTTTTGTCTGTCTGTCTAGCTGTATTTCTGTCTGTCTGTAACACTTTCGTTTCCGAGCAATACCACGAAAAGCTTTTGCAATGAAATTCCAATGGCCTAAGGAAGACGTCCATCGATTTTCAAAGGACAAGGTAATAATTCTGATGTAAAAACACATTGGTTTCCACGAAATATCTCTAGAAGCCTTTGACATTTTTTCAATGAAATGTTATACCATGATTTCTTTTTGCCTAACTAAAGTTAAGGAAGATCACTTTTTAATGGTATTTTGAGCTAAATAGGTCTAAAGTCAAGTTCGTAAATTCATTATATTCTGTAAACTTTTAATTTCCGGGCAAATATCTCGAGAAGCAATGAAATACTAGTATGTGGAGTTTACGAACGGTACTCGAGCTCAAAAGTCCATTAAAGATTACAAAATAGGAACAGAACAAACACAGACCTCCAAAACAGGTGGAATCAGGTGTCATGGAGGAGTAAATATCTCCTGCTGACCGGTCACACTATATATGATTAATTGATAAATTGTATTTGCTGACAAGGACACTGTATCGATCATAGATATTACGAAATGATGGCTTTAAACGAGACTACTGATATTTTGCTTCATCAACTTGTTTATCAAGTCGTTTTCGTCGTTTTAGAAATTGTTCTTACATAGAATAAGCTCTTCCGTATTGCATAAAATTTTATACTATTACTCTCTGTGGATCCGCCTGCCTTCGTAGAGTGTCCCCCCTTCGACCCCCATCCCTATAGGATCCGCACATACTTTTCTCTTTTCCTTCAGCGGGAGACATCAACTCTCCGAATTAGCTTGTTTTTATCGACAAAGGTCAGTGGCGCCCGAGAGTCAAGTCTAGAATATGAGTTTGTTGTGGTAAATATATACATACTGTTGAGGCTATATAAGGGGCAGCCATACCGCCAAATCGAGCGATACAGGAACTGGTTCCCATAGCACCATTACGGACCACGGTGGGGTAGAGTTCCGCCGTGTAGATGTAGATTACACCAAAGGCCGCTGATGACCCCATTTTACCAATGATTGATAATACCAGTGTCAGACTACTCAACTCTGTATTGATATAAAAAAAATACCTCTAAAGAACCTTAAATTTTCACGAAATTCTCAAGCACAGTTAAGTTCTCAGTTAAGCACTGTCATATATAATTCATGACAGTAAAGTTTAAATAGTTCACACACTAATAATTTTTCAAAAAGAGAACCCTTCCTTTTTTCACCAAGCAGACATTGTACGAGGGGTGTTAGAAAAGTTCGCGGACAAGTTCTATTGTGAGCGCGCTATTTCCACGAAACCGGTCAAACTTTCCAGATAAAATCTTAACCTATTTTCCAATAAATATACAAAAATTTGGTGCTCTCCGGTGATCATTGAAAAATAAACGGCTTTTTATTCTGATAAATCTTGCTTCACGGAGCATGCTCCATTTTGGCACGTTTACATTACAAAGACTCTTGATTAAAATTTAAAATTGCATAATTGTAACGCAAAGAGATTTATGATATTTTACCTATCGCTAAAGTATTCATGAAACGTCACTTGGAGAAATTTTGAATTAAATTGGAGAATAATTGACTGTTTTATAGCCATTTATAAATGATAAACACGTAAAAACACAGCCAAAAATCGGAACGTCATTGAGCGTCATGGAGCACTGCACTGCGTAAAAATTATGTGTGTAGACAGTAAAATGTCTAAAAAGAAATTAAAATTTTCAAGATGATGCCGGAAATTTCCAACACACACAAAGGACAAAAGTTTTCAAATGATTGTGACTTCATATCAATGGAAGGATTAACATATTGAATGATTAACTCCATCGATACTTCAATACCCTCTTATCGCATGGACGTTGTGCCTATATGGTTTTGCAGTTTTCAAACCTGATCAATTTACTGCAGAGAATCTGAAGAAAGGAAAGATTTATAGAACTGCGACAAAGCATAACGGATTGAAATCTGGTTGTCACGTCGCCTTACGTCAAGGGATTGCTCCGTGAATCCTATGACATCATAGTAAAAATCGTTGTAAATTTTCAAGATTTTAGTAAATGGACCTGATTTTTTACATACTAATAAACAAAATGTAGGAATTTATTCAGACATAAGTCATACTTCACAGTACACAATAGATTTTCCGTAATTCAGTGTGTCCGCGAACTTTTCTAACAACCCTCGTAATTATGGGTTAAAACAAAGAGTTACAGTTGCCTTGCCTTCCTTGCCATAGAGAACTGGAAATATGGTACACAGTAAGGCAGCGCCACCTATGATCATTATCAAGCAGTGTAACTTCTGCCTCCCTATTCTGTTCAACAAAAGCATGGTGGCAATTTTTGCTGGAAACTCAACAATTGCTAGAATAAACTGATTCAGGTAGAAGTTTCCTCCTATATTTCCGACATGCATGGTTACTCCGTAATAGTCCATAGCAATAACAATCCTGAAAAGAACTCAGGATCAATTAACAATTGACAAAATAATCATATATGCATGATCGTTACCTTCAGTTAAACACGATTTATTATTTATTTATTTATTTATTTATTTATTTTTGGAAGAATCATAAATCATTGAATAATGAAATTATTAAATTGATTATTTAAACCTTGTCATAAATTAACAAAATATACTTCAGTTTAATTGGTTATGGTTTATTGCAGCCCACCCATTATATATATTATATTTTTTCTTACCAGTTAACGAACAATATCATTGCCCGAACAAACAACACTTTGTGTTTAAACACGTGCCAAATCTTCTCTCCTTTCGGAATTTCAATTTTTTCTCCCACAATCAGATTTCCCTTTACGTCAAATCCGTTCACTTTAGCGACACGTTGTACGATTTTTTCCGCCTCTTCCATTCTTCCCTGTGACAGCAGCCACCGAGGGGATTCCGGTATCACCCTGAAATACGTCAACATGAACAAGAGGAGTTATATCCAAAACCTAGAAAAAATAATTTAGTTGGAGGACTTCATGCAGCAAACTTTTCTTAGGGCTTTATGGAAGATTTGATCATGTGCCAACCCGTTTTACATCCCAATAACACTCAAAAAATGATACCTTATTTCTTATATTTACATTTGTGACTTCTTCATACTTTAAATTTGCCTGTTTGTGACTTTTAACGTGTGAAATGCATTTTTTTTCAAACCCAACAGCATGTTTGTAAAGCCACTGACCGCGCGTCGACCCTTTGTGACTTCACAGAGAAATTACGTCGAACGTTTATCCATATGAACATCTATGACCTCTTGACCCCGTACCTGTATTTATTAATATATAATGAATAATATTATTACACCTCATTATAAATATTCTAAACAACGCATTATCTGATTGGTTCTAAGTTATCATGTGATCGGGCCGTAAAACTTCATATTTCCCGGCCGTCGGCACGCTTTTCCTCATATTCCACCTCTTCGGAACACCTAATGTATTTTCCCGCAATATAGTTCTCGCTCGTTGCACGAAAACTCCCGAAAGAAGTAGACGTCACAATAGCCTGCATGGTTTACGTCACAAAACTTATGATAATGTGTTGAACAAGGGGTTTTATAGTAACTTTACGTAAAAAGGTAAATGAATTTGAGAGAGGCGCCGAATTTGAAAGTTTATGTTTATTTCAAAGGTTTTGCTTGTTTCGGTATAATAAACAATTCATTGCATGAATGTTCGGGAAACATGAAGACTTATTCAGCCAAGAAATATCATATTCCCCTCGGGCGAAGCCCTCGGGGAATATGATTTTCTTGGCTGAATAAGTCTTCATATTTCCCTCACTATCATGCAATAAATGTATAATAATAAATATACTTTCATAAAAAATTCATACAGAAAACAAACTTCCCAATTTCACATCGAGCTCTTAGAAAAATTTGCTGGAAGAACTCCTCCAACTAAATTATTTTTTTCTAGGTCTTGGCAAAATAGAGAGCTGTTTTTAATTTCAGATCATCAGCCTCGAATAACCTACCACCAATAGAGGACATAAACAGCGCACGGTACCGCCACGGCCAGCTGGAGGTACTGCCAGTGTCGGACGAGGGCCCCCACCCCCGCCAGGTACAGCAGCCCCACGGCAAAGAACATGTGGATAGGAATCCCGGTCATTACCCTCTTAGAGGGACCCACCATCTCAACACCTAGCAAAATAAAACTTGCCTTGAAATTTATCATCGGCATTTAAAGAATTTAAAAATATGAGATTTTATTATGAAATTTATTTAAATAATGAAATTATATAGTATTTTAAAGGGTTTATCCGTCAACTTCATCGAAGGAAAATCATTCCAAACTTAACTTAACCAGGTAATACTGTAAACTGAAAGCAATGAAAACATTTGTCTATGTTTCAGTTGAAAGGCATGAAATTCATTACAAACTAGTGCCTTTTCCTCTTTCAACACAGAACAAAAACACCATATCAAGACAAATCACGTTATAGGGTTCCTGATTCCAACAGGTTCGCTTACTGAACCCAAATGGATATAATCTGGAGAATATGAACAGTATGTATACACGCTCAAAATACAAAATGGGAGTAGAGTAAACATGAACATCTGATAAAATCATCGCTTGGATCAGATGCTACAGAGGATTTACCTCCCCTGTCGATCGGCCACGACCGCAATACGCTCCTTGCCATGATCAGAATAATGTTAAATCTGTAGACTGATAAGTGTATAAATAAAAACATAACAATTTGTTGGAAAAAGTCAGTAAACATTTGACTATTTGCTGATAATATCATTGACCATGAAAATGCTAAATGTTGACTTTTTAAACGAGATTGTTGATATGTTGTAAGACTCCAAAGTCCGATGGTGACGCCAAAGTCCGATGGTCTCGCCAAACCCCGGTGGCTCGTTGTCTTTACGGACGCCAAAGTCCAATGGTCACGCCAAAGTCCGATGGTTCGTTACCTACGCGCGACGCTAAAGTGCAATGGTCTGACACGCCAAATTCCGATGGTGCGGAGGAACAATTAACGTTTATGACGTCACAATAGTCCGACGTTATGTCGTTATTCTGCACTCAAAATCCATTGATTCAGTATTCGTCTCACATATACGTTTTTGTTGATATTGCTTTTTTTCACCCACCAGAGGTATTAGGGTTAGTCCTCGTACACCATTCGGGTGATAAGGGTTAGTCCTTAAACACTAAGGTGTTTCTTCGAAGCCACCCGAGAGATTTTAGGTTTAGTCCTTGCACACTGTTGGACTGATTTAGATTAGTCCTGCACCCACCTGTGATAGTTAGGTTAGAGATGATACTCAATGTTCGACTGTTAAGTCTTAGTTTCGCACCTACATCCAAAAGACTAGGATTAGTCTGTGAAATTATGATATTTTGCATTTATTTATGGCATGGCGTGGCATCGCATTTTTGCGCAATAGTACTGTGACGTCATAGACGTTAATTGTTTTCTGTGCCATCGGACTTTGGCGTGTCAAACCATCGGACTTAATTTAGAGTCCCATCGCACTTTGGAGTCCTACGTATGTATACTTGTCTCTTCAACTTGTTTGTCAATAGAATGTCATGTTTCAGAAATTGTTCGAGCATGTTATAGTTTAATTATCGATTCAAATGAGATACATTATCATTTAGTAATATATTTGAGTTTTCACAAGTACCCTCATCTTTATAAATTTCACTACTTCTCGAATACATTCTCCCGAAGTTTCTTTTGACTGCTTTTAAATATTTTAGTTAGGATTTGCATGATTAGATACATGTAAATAACCTGTTTCAAAAGAGGGTCAGAGAAGATCTGTCCATTTTCCGCCTTCCTTTAACACTTCGTTAATTCAGAGTGAATACGTCATATATTGTCGTTTTCTCCTGCCCCTGATACTAGTACTCTCGGTTTATTCCCCTCGCCTTAACGGTAATATTTAGCATTCCCATTTCGCCTTAGTAAGCTCTCAGGTGAATTAAGGTGATGAAGATTTAATATATTTAGTTTAAAGTATTTTTTTTTAAATACTTGGTATTACATGTATTATTTCATTCACTGTATTCATAAATTCCCATTAACTGTTAAATTCAATCAAAAAAAAAATTATTTAAACTTTTATATCAACATAGTAATAATATTTACAAATACTAATTTTTTTATGCCCATTTCGCCTTAGTACTTTTTAACTTTTTCTTACCTGAATTTCACAGTTAAGGACATAAACAACGTACCTTACTTACTGATAATTTTTTAAGATATTCTATATTTAACATTATTCTACCCATACATGTTCTTAGAAAAAAATCAGCATGCAGTACCAGGGGTTTTGAGCACATATCAAATGATGAAAATTCTTGCATTTTTCAAACAAAAATCTATAAAATATACTAAACTTAAATTTAAGATTTTTTCCCATCCAAATTTGTTTAAGAAGAGGTGTACAACACCATATATAGACATTAAAAGAATTTCACAGGGGTCTTTCACTTACTGGAACTCTTCAACTCCAGGGAAAAATCCAATAAAGTTCAAACTACATTGCGTATGACCCTAAGGCAAAATGGGAACACACCATACTCTCAGTAACAGTCTCTACCTGTACTTAGTACTGTCATGTTTAAACGTCAAAACTCCAACAGGGATCCAAGAGCCTTACGAGTACCACTTTTACTGGAAAGTCATGTACATGCAAACCTTGGCAAGAAACTGCAGAGTAACTGTACATGTAAATCGTTCTTTTTTCAAAATTCTTCTGAGAGAATGAACAAACAGTATAATATATGCAATAGAAGGTATTTCAATATGTGTTTATTAATACAAACATAATTAAATACTTACTTAAAACGCTAGCTGGAACAAAGACGCCATGGCATGCAGCTCCCACAAAGAAATTCAGGATAACAAAGACGTAATAATTGGACACAAAGGCCACACTGACTGCTGACACAACCTGAATAACTGCAGAAATTACCAAGGCCTTCTTCCTACCAAATCTAATAACAGAAATTATTCTAAGTTTGTAATTTTTTCCAAATTAATTTTATATATGCATAGGTATATACATTCGTATAATGTACGTACACATCGGCAACACACCCAAACCCCACATCGCCAGCCAACACACCGAAATAGAATATCATCTGGGCGTGGGAGGTTTTCAGAGCATCGTCACAAACTAAATTCACCTAAAACAAAGAAAAGTGATCTTAAACCTTTTCTGTGATAAAACCAAAACTTTAAAAATTCGAAAGAATTTATGAACAAAATAATCTTTATATTAAAGGTAACCTTTGATGAGAATGTTTCTTCGAACACTGATGTATCGTAAACCCATTCATTACATTTCCTAAGAGTCGTGACGTTATTCTCTCGTCCGATGACGTGACACCGGTCATATCTCAGAACAGAATGCGGATCTTCAGGGAGCGGAATGGTTATATTTATCAGTTGTCTGTGCTTTTCATTTTGTTCAAGATATGTATCATTTTCATATCCAGGAATTTTACATCTATAAATAGTAACAATGTATACATGATATTCTAAAGACATAGGCGTCGGAAGCAAATCGAAAGTGGGGGGGGGGGGGGGGTAGACCAACAAAAAAAGGTAAACCCAAACTTTCAATGCCTATAGAATGTATATGTTTGCAATGCCCCCCCCCCCCCCCGATTCCGACGCCGATGCAAGAAATTAAATATTACCGAGCTGTCTGTTGTAGTGACTTTTCAAAGAACAAAGTACAGTTTTGGTCAAAAAATGCCGCGTTTCAGATCTGTTTCGTTCATAATATTTTAAAAAGACTAGGATTTTTAAAATCAAATGGTATATAATTTATATATAACTCAAATGTATGCATTTAAAAAATAACGCCAAATACCTTTCACGATTACGAAAATACCTTTCATATCAGAACAAGTTTCAAGTTTCAAGTTTTTATTTAAGACAAAGATCCCAACTGGGGTATATGAATACAAATAATACAAGTTTTTTTTTTTTTTTTACATATAAACAAGAATGCATGAAAGAATGAGTGGTACTAATAGAACGTCGAGATTTTACGAAAAATTCAGACGCGACCTCATAATTTTAACATGCTATGCGTCATCTGAAATTCTAAACGTACACTCTGAAATATTTATCAATGTAAAGAAGTTTCTATTGGTTTTAATATTCCATCATTATTATGCATTTATCTACTTATTTTTATTATCCATCCTAGGGTACCTTAACTTTAATTGTCCTACAGAATTACAGTGAAGAAAGGAAAAACTGGAAATAGTGAGTTGTCTTTTTTCTAGTAGTTGACCTTACTTATAATTTAACAGTTGTATTGCAAAACTTATGGTTCTGAAGCATAAAAATGATATTAGCCAATATTTGCTATATTTGCTAAATAAAATGATCAAACATTCTGAGAGTATTGCATAAGCGATACATGTCCCCCACCGGGATCCCCTTTTCTCATTAGGGTTCATTTTATTAGACCTTGTGTATGAAAAAGCGACACAAAAATATGGACATTTCAGTTATTACTTGTTTATGAATAAAATATCTTGGAATTACTTCGATCTGCCTTAAAAAGAAAGACGACGTCTTTGAATGCCATTTGACACATACAGTGTATGCATGTTTTGATCAGAACAGCTCATTTTACGTGGTTAAAAACAATTTTATGCCCAAAAAATCAAACTTGATCTATGGTTTGTCACTATAAAGCTTCAAATCATGACAGTCTCGTTTAAAAGATTAATTAAGTGCATCACGACATTAATTTAGTGCATTGCGAGCCCAATCGTGAACCCAATTATAAAAAATTAAAAATGCCATGATTCCGTCAAAACCATGCAATGAAGCAGAACGAAATGCAAACTTAATCTATAAATAATCAAGGTAAGTACCATGCTGAAAATCAGCTCAATATCTGCAAGCGATTAGAAAAAAGTGCAAAAAACCCTGGGAAAAAATATTAAGAAGGTAATTCCGTAAAAAACGTCGAAGTGGAACGAAAAGCAAGATACACTCACATACCAAAATTCATCTTCGCTAGTCAAGGGTTTCTGATACGCTACTCTCCTCACAATCCCTTGGCATACGGTGTTAATAAAAGTTTGGGGTTGGGGGGTTCGAGTTCTGATTGGGATTCGGTACACGCTGTAGACCAATCAGCAATTGTTTTTTGAAGGTGACGATATCTGCGTTTTGGATACATCATGGCTCTTTAATATCAGGAATGAAAAACGCAAGTAAATAACGATCCATAAGATAACATGCAATTCTATGAATAGCTATGCTTTCATCCAATATCTTCTAAATATGTGATTAAGAATCAATATTGAAGCTTCAGATTTGTAATATAAATAATAAATAAACATAACTCAATTTCTGCTTTTTAATTATTCTTTAAAAAATCGATTTAATTTTTATTAAAACGCGTCTTTATTTCTGTCGATGACGCAGTCTGTACGTGCCTGGCAGATTTGAAAATGCCAATGGTTCACGAGGAAATTAGAGTATCAGAAACCTTGGCTTGCGAAGATGAACAAAAATCAGCTCATTATCTTCGAGCGTTTAAAATGAAGTGCGGAAAACCAAGTGAGACAGACTGACAAACAGACAGAGGGACAGATAGACGGACAGACTGGATGGAAATATACAGTCCCCTCCAGTTTCACTAGTAGGGAACTATAAGTAATAAGATAATTGACAGAATGAAAGGATTTCGACAAGAAAAACATTTTCAGGACTTCCGGTATTGATTTTGTTTTTCGTCACCTGCTTCCATTGTGGAATATTAATATCGGTCTGTCTGTCTGTCTGTATAACTTAAGAGTAGTTAGTGAAAATTAGTATTCACTAAATGACTACTCATATTTCATCAAAATATGTTTACATCTTAATTTATTTTGAACATTGTGTGGATTTATTTGTTACAGATATACAGAACAGACAGACAGACGAACCAACACATACTGTAATTAATATGCCCCTTTTCTCTCTATCCCCTCCAAACTCTCTCCCCACTCTCTTCCTTTCCCCGCTATCACCTTCCTTTCTCCCCACTCTGAGTCTCTCTCCCCACTCATACTCTCTCCCAACTCTCACTCACTCTCTCCACTCTCACTCACTCTTCACTCTCTCTCTTTCCCCACTCTCACTCCTCACTCTCCCCACTCTCACTCCTCACTCTCACTCACTCTATCTCTCTCTTTCCCCACTCTCACTCACTCCTCCTCACTCTCTCCCTCCCCACTCTCTCTCTCTTCCCTCTCCACTCTCTTTCTCTCTCCCCGCTTCACCCTCTCTCTCTCCCCGCTCTCACCGTCTCTCTCCCCACTCTCAATCTCCCCTCTCTCTCCCCACTATTACTTGCTCACTCACATTCTCTCTTCTATGATAGATAGTAGGAGGCTAAATGTGATAAGGAGAGAAAGTGCAGGGAGATCATAGAGGGTTTAGATAGAACGGGAGATAGTGATCCCCCATTCTCAGCCTCTTTTCTCTCCCTCACTCTATATCTCCCTCTCACTCCTCCTCCCCTCCCATTCTGTCTTTCTCTCATATTCACCACATTCTCACTCTCTCTTTCTTTTTTTGGTTTTGTTTGTTTAACTCAGTTACTTCTTCCTTATAGGAAATAAACTATTCATATGTATTATACATCAATGTTTTATTATTATTTACAATTTAAGAAGTGGAAATAATTCTTTTTCCATAATAAAGAAAACATTTTCATCGTTATCTTACAAGAAATATAAGGAATGTCTATTCTTGATCTTTTCATTTTAGTTATCAAAATTGACTATTTATGCAAAAAAAATGATGTCATTTAATATTATAAGGGCGATAACTCCACGCAAAATTATGTAGACTTACGCAAAATACTAAAGTATTCTTTTTTTGACCATAGAAGTAATTCGGGATTGACATTCACTACCTTATTTCCTGGTTCTCAATCAGTTTACTTGATTTCTGTATTTAAATATATTTTTCATCCTCAGATGTTGTGAGGTTGCAATAATACTAACCAAAATGCACCTGCATCTTGACTTTCTCCCTGAAACCAGTAAATATATTTTGTTTTGAATATAAACGTTTGTTTGGTATTTTATTCATATATGTACTGTTTTTAAACTACAAATAAATAATCTTTATTTGTTACATGGTTCTACCCTACTAACCCTAGGTTTTAACTTAACACTTCTGAAAGGTGAACCGTTAGGCCATCAACGTATGATTAAAATCCACCTGTGACGTCATTCTTTTGTTTGAACGCTCCATTATTTATAAGGAATGGAGCGTTCGGAAAGTAGGTCAACCATTGTTATATTTAGTATAACACAATAACTTTTGATAATTTTTATTTCAAGCAAAATTACTTCACTTTTTATTAAATGAAATATTTACAGAGACTTGAAAATCGGATCCGGACTTGACACATTTACAATGGCTATTGTTATTGATATCAATATCACTGTCTTTATGTCCTTGGAGAATTTCACTCAAATTCCGTTTTTGTGCTGCGGTTGTTCGTTTGTAGTTCCGGATAGCATTCGATCTATGGCCAGTTACCTCCGAAATAAGCTGCTCATCCACGCCAGCGTGATACAGTCGAGTTGCTGCTGAAGCGCGTAACGAGTGGTTTGTTCTAAATCCATGTAGTCCTCCCTGTTTGCACAGATCAGAAACAACATTTGCAAGTTTATGCCTACCAATGGGCTGAACAGAATACCATTGTTCCTCAGTTGGTTTTGCAAGTGGGCGAAGATAAAACGCGTCACACACTTTTACATCGGGACACTTACTAATATATTTCTCATAATATTTCACTATACATCTGTTAGGCATTTGCTTATTTTCATATGCTTGGACAGATTTTTTGGAAATTTTTCTATGTTTTAATCCACCTTGATTACTCTTTGATGTGTCCTCCGTATAACTAAGAAATTTCCCCTGAGCATCCTCAGAAACAGATAATTGTGAACGGTCTCCTCTTCTTAAACTTCGATGATCTTGTCCCCCACGTAAAGCGAAATGAAGGCCAATTAGATAGAGTAATGTATACAGAAGCTGTTCAGGATTGGTGTCCCCTAGAATACATTTAGACCACAATATATCTTCCTCGTCCTCTGTAATTGGTAAAGCCTGTTTTTTTGCGCCACCGACATTATCTTTGGCCTTTGATTTCATAACATTATCCAAGGTGTTTTTTATTTGAGAAAACTCATCATCAATTAAAAACTTGTAGTTATATCCAAGGGTATCCATGTATAACTGTAAACAGATCACAAAACTATACAATGTTTCTGGGGGGTATTCCGATCCGTCTACTTTTTTGGCTTCACATATAAAACGTGACACTGTGTACTTCAACTCATCCATTGTCATTTTGTCAATATCAACAAGAATGGGACTAATATCCGATCGACTTTTCGACATTTCATTCCGAAATCTTTGCCACTCTCTGAATGTGCTGACGGCCCACCGTATTTTCGATCTAGTTGCGGGTGC